AGGGTGGAATGCCAGTGATACGGCGTGAACATCGGTTTTGAAAACCATCCAGGCGTCTCCGTTCGGCTGCGGAAAGACATAAACAACTCAGACCATACATCAGTTTGGATTCAACCAGAGTTTTGTAAATATGAACCTTAGTGATATGGCACTCGTTGACAATATGCTACTTGCAACTGATTACATTCCGTACAAGTAATGCATTTGCTATCGTTGCCGCTTCACGACAGGCCGACATCTCAGCGTGATCTGCCAGGTGTGTCAACATCAGAGAGTACTAGTAGCATGCAATGAAAGCTTCCGCTTCCATGCTGACTGGGTGTGGCAAAGAGCGTCCATTGAAAGCCAGCTATCTGCTTCAGGCGCATTCACCACGGTTCGTCTGCAGACTAAAGTTCAAGTGTTTTGTTAGCCCATGCGCTCAGGACAACGATGAGTCAAAGTGGTCCAAGCACTATCCTCAGCAACCAACTCGATTTCGATACATCGCTGCCATTCGTGTCCTGGAACCCATCCCCTCAATCCGAGACAGTAGGTTGGGTCCACTTCGGCCACTGGTATTTCCGATCGTTGTGACCAACAGTTCTAAATGCCGTTGAATCCCGTGTGACCGAGGGACTCGACATACGATTGCAGACAACCCAGAAAGGCCTCGTGCCGGCAAACAACTGTTGACACTCTTCTGAGCTGACGGACGTGAGATTGAGTCTCGTCATTTGGTAACCTGAAGCATTCTGTCTCTTTTACGTGCTGCACCGGGAGAACTGCGAGGTCGCGGCTTCGCTTCCTCCTCCAAACCTTTCAAGATGTCAAGAGCTTGAGAGAAATGTCGGTCTGCCCAGTAGTCGCGCAAGAGTCTCGGTGTCTGGCGAACCCGCATTCGAGCTTTGGCTTTCGCATGAAGATTTCTTCTGCGCTCCTTCTTGTCGGTGATATCCTGGAGCGCTGCACGTTGCATGCAACGGAATTCGGAATGGAGGGGAAGCCTGGCCTTCAGGGAGACCGGAACGGCTCGTTCGTTCCTCAGGAGGAGTCGTGTGCAAAGCACGCCGCGGCGTAGCTAACTCTCTCTCTCTCTCTCTCGCTCTCTTCTCTCTTCTGAGATCTCTCGGCCACGGGCAGATCTTTCCAGAGCAGCTCTCGCCTTAAAGAGCTGAGGAGCGGAATGTTTTGAGTGTGAACTTTTTAAGACTTCTAGAGACGCAGAGACTTTACTGTAGAGGCGTAGAGGGTGTGCCTGCCTCACCTGCAGCCACTCCACTTCCGACTTGGCTTGCTTCCTGAATGCTCCGAAATCAACCGCGGAAGGCGGAAGAATGAGACTGGGACTATCGCTTCACACGTCCTTCCGTCTGCTCGGGCCTTTCCGAGCCTCCAAAGCACACACAAGAAGACCGCGGAGAGCGTCAGAACAGCACCTTCTGCAATAAATGGCTCCAGCTTGTGATATTGGTGATGTGCGGGTCTGCCTGGTGAACACGAGACTTTGCAACTGCGCACAAGACTTCATGCGCCAGGAGTCGGACTCTTAGCCGGATCACCTCCTGCTTTCAGAGTGCGAGTCTGGAGCCTTTGCAGCTAAAGGGCCAGCCCATTGATCGGACAAAACATGTTTCCAAAACAACTGAGATCTGCAACTCCATCTTCCGCAGTAGGCGCTGTATGTTCTCCTTGTGGAAAAACTGCTACCATCTGAAGGATCACACAAATATCAAAAGTTGATCCTCCAGAACGTCACGTTCCGCCGCAGCACTGACAAGCTCATCCATGAAGGCCTTTTGCAGGTATGGTGGTTCCAGTGTTACAGGGTGGGAAAAGATGAGCGGGTCCCTCCGAACATACCCGAAATCCAAGAATGCAGCCTGTGAGTGCACGTTTCCCCTACCTCCAAGACTTTGAGAATTGAACATCATGCACAAAGTAGAACATCAGCTCATGAAACCTACATTGACACACAATCAAAGTGATAAAAGAGTGAAACTTAGCATTCCAGTCATAGGAGCAGCCAGCAAGTGTTTCCTCCCTAAAGGATGACCCTGACACAGGTACTACAGCCTCCTTCCTTCTGACCGTGCTGAAATTGGGGACTTGCATGCCTTTGGGACTGGAAACCAACACACAGTCTGGCCTTGGCGCTGTGGAGCAGCCGAAACTCAGAGTTGCGATCAGTTCTTGATGTGTGCGGATGCTTCCGATCTGAGGCCAACACCGCTCCGATCTGAAAGTGTTCGGATTTCTTCGGAGCCTTAGGGTGGTTTGCACGCCACTGCACGGCCCATCCACGTCCTGCACTCTGAATACTCTGGCCTGGATTTTCGACGCAGCTTTCTCAATGCCCCTTCTTAGGTTGAAACCTTCAGCGAGAGCGAGGGCAGCGAGATCCCAAAGCGCTTCGCCGCTTCACTTCTTTAACCCAGCCGGCGGCCAGGCCTCCTTGGGAGGCGCTAGCTGCGCTAGCCTTGCCTTTTGGAAGCCGACCCGGCAGAGCAGGAGCCGGTTTGGATGCGACATTTTCAGCGGCGTCCTCCTGCTTTGAGCATGTTGTGCGCTACACAGAGCACAAGCCAACCCTTCATTGGCCTCCGGTGGCATGTCGGGTGGAGTTTCCAGCTCATCCACTTCCAACTCTTGAGACTCATAAGTCGGCTGCCTCTCACAAGGTAGGCGCAGAACTCTTGCAGCGTACCATCACTTGCCTCTGCATGGCCGATTGCAAATAATTCTCACCGTTTCCAACCCTCAGCATTCGATGGCTTAAGACAGGAATCAATAGTCCTGAACTCTTCAGGTGGCTCAGGCGAGCACTCCTGTCCCCCTTTGCCCCTGCGCTCCTACAACAAAGAGCGAATGCGGCTCTGCCTGCACTTTTTGCAGCTGCTCGAACATGCGATTGCAACCGAGTAACGTCCCGCATCGTGGTCATCATCAAATGGTCATACCTGCAAAGCACAGCATACGCACCTCAAGCGCGGCCAATGGTCGAGGGCAAAGGAGCACAAGGATCTGTTCAGCTCAACTTTCCGACGATGCTCCTCCCGGCACTGAGCGATTGCATGATCACGCACGCCAAATCACGCCAAGCTACTACCACCCTGGCCTGCATCAAAGCTGTGAGATCTCCTTTGACCTTCTTGTGTACCCTGCAGAGACCATGCAAGATTAACAGACTGGGCCAAGCATCACACCAGCTCCTCCGTTGATGATCGCGCTGCTTAACCATTGCCTCAAGACTGGCGCCAAAACCTCATCAAATGCTAACTGTTGGCGAACTCCCACCTTCTCCATGTCGGACAGGTTAGCAGTTGTGGCAAACGGCTGCGAGTCCGCAAGCCCTGAGTCCGTCTCCTGCAGACTGCGCACTTTGCAGCCAGGAAGCCACAAGGCCACGGCACAGGTCCTCCTCACGGTCTAAACTGCTTAAGCTCTTCTTGGAAGCGAAAGCCTGCGCTCGAACGGTTCTCTTCCAGGACCAATTTGCTTCCATGTGCTGCTCAGTGGCATCGAGCAGGCTTGCAGAGTGTGTGTACGTCCTGCAGCTAGACGTCGACATCTGACACTATCTGCTTGACGCATCTTGCTCCTTGAAATCAGCGCGGGGTCGATCCCAAAGCGCTCCAGCATCAAGCCCATCTCCCTGGCTTCACCGCAAATAGGACATCCCTCGCAACCGGCCTTGAGAACAAGCCTGTCGACAGCATCGTTGAAATCCGCGAGCGCCCTTGCTGGGCAGGCAGTGGCATGCAGTGGCACATAGTGACACCGGCACAGCAGTGGCACAGCTGCTTCACTTCATATGTGGCCTCGCTGCAAGTAGAATTCGGGAGCTCAGGGTCTCCTCCGCGAGTATCTTGGAGAGAGCCAAGACGCTCACAGCTTCCCGCTGCAGCTCAACCTGGACACCAGGAGATACGGCCCTAGCACATTTCCTCAGCGATTAAGAGGGTCTCGCTGTGTCTTCTAGGAGGCGACGCACCACCTTGAGTGTCAGATCAGGTGTGCAGAACTCTTCCGCCTCAAACGCGCGAACAACAGGCAAGAGCAAGACGTTGTCGGAGGTCTCTCCTGTTGTGCACCACTTCTTCAAATCGTTTGCCTGTCAGCCGTTTCCATGAAAGAAGTACGATGGCTGATTGCATGGCAGCAGGTCGCGTGCCAGGTCTTGCCAGCGAAAACGATCCAAGCCGGATATGACCTGACTGTCTGTCGGGAATGAAGCTTTGTGCAGAACGACTGTAAGCAAAACCAAGCCGCCCACATCTGTCAATAGATTCTTCAGCTCCTCTCTAGTCAGAAGTTTGTCCATCTCGCCCACGATCTGCTCTTGCTGGTCCATCTGCACGGAGCACACAAGCATGCAAGCATATGCAAGCATGCTAGGGGTCGCATCAGCAGGCTATGTTAGGTGGACTAGGAGGGACAGGATGAGATGCGACACGGACTGGTAGCGACTCTGCCTCGCTCTCGTCGGGGTCGGGGGCGGTGTCCACGGTGTCCGCAGCTTTCAGTTTTGTGATGAAGTCCTCATCGTCCTCCCTCAGCTTCCAGGCTTCTTTTGGACAGCTTTTGGAATACAGCCCTGCCTGCCAACAGCTCTCGCAATGGAAGAAGCATCGATGTTGCCAGCAGCCTGCATCTTCCTGCACAGTTGCATGGGATGCTGGCAGCTGTAGGCACAAAGTATCATCGAGGAAACGACACTGCGAGGTCTGCTTGTTCTACCTCCACTTGGTATTCTTTGCACATCACGACAAAGGGGTGCAAATGTCTTCACGCAAGCCCGCCTCCGTCTGAGAAATTTCCTGTTGAGTCCGTACTTTTAGAGACCAAGTTGCTCTCATGACGCTTCCTGCTGAGACTCCAGCATCCATCTGATCGAGGACATCCCTAACCTAGCAGGCGACGCAGACTGATGGCATGGCCCGAGCAACTCATGGCACCTTGTTTGTCAGCAAGCCATATAACTCGTAGGTAACCACGTATCTCCTGCCGACGCAAGGTTCAATACGAAACATGATGGCAACGTCATCGTGACCTGGGGATCCCAGATCGGACACCACCTGTCTTCAGCTTCTTGAGCATGTCCTGCAGGCACAACACTTGCTGCCAGTCATCTTGCCAATTCTACACCAACCTCTGCTACTGCTCCGATGACTGTGCCATTGGCGATCAGCTGGACTGCTTCGCCGATTGTCAGCCTCACTGCAGCTCGTACAGCACGATTAAAGCACGATGGAGATCCGAGTCCCACCAAGGTCCTTGCTTGGCATCCTCATCAACACCCGGATCGGCACCCGCGAGCTCCAAGGATCCCAACTCTTTCTGCAAGTTCTCCAATACCTCACGGAAGGGCAAAGCAGCGCGACCAGAGAGCTCCCACAGGCCACACCATCGATGCTGTAGTCATGGATCGAGTCATACCTCGACAAAAAAGCTCACAGTCAGAGTTCAGCAATCCACGGGCATGGCCGAACACTTGGTGCCGCACTGTATCCCGGGAGAAAAAGCGGAGCATTGTCACCGGCGCGTGGATCATATAAAAAGTTCTTTTTGGCCTCGTCCGAATTTACAGAGACATACAGAAGGCATCAGGCACCATCTTCCCCGAAACCGAGGTCACTGGCTGGCAAAAGGCCTGGATCCCCCTGGCAGGAACATCTTATGTCATCCCACAAGCCAAGTCAATCCACGACATGCTTCAAAGCGTGAAGCTTTGCACAGCTTCTAGCTGGAAAAGTAGACTCAGTCAAGGCGTAGCGGAAGATAAAGATGAGTAGAAACCATTGGCTTCTGAGCTCGACAGGGTCATCACTACCCCAGATGCGCCACATCGATACCCTATTCAAACTACAATCAGGTTTTGGAGCTTTCCTTTTTGGAAGCGGTGACTAGGGATGCTGAAATATAACAGGTAGAAAGATAGCCATGGGGACATGTATCACTGAAAAACAAAGATAGAAAATCGATGCCCAACACCATGAAATGCCCGTATGTTCCGCAAACCGTAAACCCATTTGCCGCTTAATGTTTGCCTTAAACCGTACTGTACGACGGATTCTTTTGTCTCAGGTGGGGAAAAGAATTTGGAGGTCCACCTGCATTCCATCCAGGTGCGCGAAACAGTGCGAGCACGTATGTCTGGCTTCTCAGAGCCTTGAACTTTCGGCCTCGAAGATCGGAGCCCATCCCATCTAGATCTTGAAGCTTAAGCAGTAACCCATGGCAGGCAGGGACTCACCAACTACCTCCTCCTCTATATCCTGACGAAGCTTGAGACCCACGCTTGCAGCAGTGAACTTGGCTTGGGGAGAGGTCCACCACAACAGTTCGAAGCTTCGGCTCACACGTGCAGCGTGCTACGCTTTCGTTTGCTGAGACCTCCACCACCGAATTGCAAAACATGTTGGGAGGCTTGTTGAGTGACCATTTCTGCATTTGTCCCGAGCTAACTTATCACGATGGTGCTGAGCATGAGTGGCGGCGAACCTCTTTTTTCCACTTCTGCAGAACCACCTCTGAAAACCTGAACACATCGACAACCAATCCTGTCTCCAGCGGCTTTGGGACAGACCCGAAACGACTGGGAACGGGGCTTGATGAGCGTCTCATCCTCGTCATCCGAATCGCAACACGATGTGAATGGACTGGACAGTCCCTGCACTCCTTGAGTCCTTGCCAGTGTACAGGTCCGAGGGTTTTCGCAACAAAATGGAACCACCGACTGCATCAAGTCTTTGGAGTCTGCGGCCGGCGCGTGTCAACAGAATCTTGAAGCTCACCGATGGATGTACAGCCTCATGTACGGGGCTACATCCTTCAACTGGGACCTGTTCTGCGACGGCGCTGAAACTCAGCATCAGGCTGCCGTGCCAGCGAGATGTGAAATGCGTAGATGCCAAGGACGGGCCCCCTGCAAACAGTTTTGCCGTCGCGCCCTTTCAGCCCCTTAATATATGAGTCCGGAGAAGGCCTGTCCGCAGAGCTTTGCCAGTGAAGCCCAAGCTGCTACTGGATGTGACAGCTGCGACACATGTTCGGGATCGGCGTGCCTGGCGTGGCTGCAAGCCAAACACAATGCCATGCCACAGGAAGTTTGTCACCCAAACCACGCCGCCTCAGCTTTCGCTTGCAGCAAACATTCCGAGGGTATGGATGCTTCTTGCGGCAGTGAACCTGCCCAAACCGGTAAAGTGGCAATTCAAGGATGCACAGCGAAAGCATGCCTGGTAATCCATAGTTCACTGGTCGCCAGTCTGACTCATCCCATACTCCAAAGGGCATCCTGAACAACAATTCGAGAAAATCCAAACATTCCAAGCATCATTTTGACGAGCTTGCCTCGACTATCTGACATCCCGGCGCATCTGGTCCAACCGCAAGCCAACCATGTAGACATGTGCTACAAAGATGTGTGTTGCCAAGAAATCAATTCGTCGCCAAGCTTGCTTGTCCGGACATAGTTACGGAAGTGCTCCTGTGTTCGTACATAGTTAAATACTAAAATAACTGAAGAAAAACGAATTCGATTTTCACGAACCGATACCGTCGCTGCGTTAACACATCAACACGAATCAACACTAGAATGCTATCAACATACGCATATCGTGGTAAAAGCATTGCCGAGCCATGCAATCAATGGTCGACATAACTGCTCCTCTGAACTGACGCATTCAAAATGTCCATCGCTTGTTGCCTGCAGGTCATGTATGTTCAAATGTGCCATCGGCACGTGCAGCTTACTGTAAATGACGATGCAAGGTGTCATTCGATGTAGAAGTGCATGACCTTGAAATCTTCTAAATAACAACAATAGTCTAGGAGCTGTGAGTTTGTGTCCCGACCTAACACAGCACGGCTTCCGAACTCGAGGTTTGACGTGGGGTTCAAACGATTAAAACCTATTTTTGCAAACCGTTTCCTATGTGCAAGACCTTGTGACTCATGCAATTTCGAGCTGACCAAATGCCTGCTCTAGTAATACTTCTTGATGATCACAAGAACTTGATCAAGTGTGCACAATGTGTTTGCTTGCAACCAAGGTGCTGTTGCAATTGTCCTCTGTTTTGTAGATCCCCTGATCAATTCAGTACAAGCCAAGCAGTGACTGGCTGGCAACAGATTTTCAGGTACAAGCTGCGACAAGAAAATGAACCGTATGATAAATTATTTCCCACGGAACTTTGCATATATATCTTTCACTCATAATCTAAAACAGTCCCGTATTCCCCAAATGCTATATGGGGCACCGAATATTTCAAACATATAAAAAGTCACACAGATGCGGACCACTGTTCTTTTTCCGGCA